GCACTCACTGGACACTCCTCAGCCACTCCAGCACTTCACTCTGCCATTACTGTTCCATTGCCGTTGCCTCTGCTGCACACCCCACTAGTGGGCCGATCTGGCAGCTTTCTGAGTGCATGGAAGTGCTGGGTGTCTTTAAAGAGGCTTTCTGGTCCTATCACTGACCGGCATGAATTAAAATGCAGCCCATCTCATCATCCTCTGCAGGGCTGAGTCATAGTTTGAGCTATGAAGGCCCCTGTCTAGCAAAGTGATTTGTGACCCAAGGCGATCAGAAGGTGAGGGAGAGGAGGGGGAACAGCATGTTTCACAGCTCTGTCTTGACAAAGATTTGGGGGTGGTGCCTGGGCAGGGCTTGAGGAGGAGGCGAGGGAGTCGGGACCGCAGTGGGGTATAGTGCCACCCTCCAGAGCAGCCATTTTCCCCAAGGCAACTGCGGTTAGGAGCTCAGTTGTAACTCCAGGAGAATTCAACCTGAAGGTTGGCAACCGTCTCTGAAACTTGGGCACTACTTTATATCTTCAAATGGTGGATTATTTCTCTGTCCCGGCGTGCTTTGCTGCATCCTGAGCTCACTTTGTACCAGACACAAATTAATAATCTTAATTTCCTCTGTCCAGCTCTTCCTCCGGGTTGCCAGGTCTCACCTCTGTCCCGGCGGGGGGGTTCCAGCCTGGCTCCTGGGATCCTCTGGAATGTGTGCTTTGTGCACACACTGCAATGATGTCACCCGGAAGGTGGGCACATCATTCAGGGGGCACGCTAGCATTTTCGGGGTGGGGGGCTATAGTCACCATAGAGTTTTTACCCGAATGCTAGAGTGTCCCCTGCATGATGTGCCCAGTGCAATGACGTCACCGCTGGGTGACGTCATCATATTCGGCATGCTGGGCGTGGTGGGGCTTTTCAGGGGTGGGGCAGATTGGGGCCCCCAAAAGCGGGGGAAACCCCACCCCCGTCAGGGGGATGGTAACCGATGTTCCCTCTAAAGCTCTGGAGTCTTGTGAGCAAAAATCCTACTTTGTGAGCTACTGGCATTAAAGTTGTGAGCCAGGGATTTGGCTACTGCATGAATCAGTTTGCTCCGGAGCCATCCTTCCTGAGCTAAGACAAAAATGTGTGAGCTGGAGGCTGGAAAACTGTGAGCTGGCTCACACTAACTCAGCTTAGAGGGAACACTGATGGTAACCCTACTCTTCCTCCATTCCATTTTTGATGACTTACGGGCTGAGGCTTCCATCACACCCAGTAACACCTTTTTCTTTCTAAGGGGAGAGACTGTAGTTCAGGGATGGAGCACATGCTTCCGTGAAGACGGTCCCAGGTTCGATCCCTGGCATCTCCAGTTAAAAATCTATAATCTTAGGGAACCAAACATGACTGAGCTACGTGCACCAGCGGTCGGGCTCGGTTTAAGAGAGCTTCCTGTGTTTCCCCCCTCCCATTTTTGTAGGATTGCTGACAGGAAGGGGGAAAATGCCCTGTTCTTTTAATAGGGGCTTAATGCGTGGAAATGGCCTGCTGAAGTTTTTTTTGTGGAGGAAAATACCAGGCTCAGGGAGGACAGTTCCGGCTGCTGGCCATGGCGACTAAAGGGAACCTCTGAATCCCAGTGCCAGTTAGGGTTGCCAGCAATGCTTCCTCTAAGCTGTGGAGTCCTGTGAGCAAAAATTCTACTTTCTGTGCTACTGGCATTCAAGTTGTGAGCAGGCGATTTGGCTACTTCATAATTTAGTTTGCTCTGGAGCCTTCCCTCCCTGACCTCAGACAAAAATGTCTGAGCCGGAGGCTAAAAATCTGCGAGCTGGCTCACACTAACTCAGCTTAGAGGGAACACTGGTTGCCAGTTCCAAGTTGGGAAATACATAGATGTTTTGGAGGTGGAGCCTGAGGAAGGCAGGGTTTGGGGGGGGACTTCAGTGGGGAATAATGCCATATAACCCACCTTTCAAAGCAGCCCTTGTCTCCAGGTGAACTGATCTCTGTCACCTGGAGATAGTTGTAATCCCAGGAGATCTCCAGCCACCACCTGGAGGTTGGCAATCCTAGTGCCAGGAGGCACCATTAAGGGAAGGCCTCGGCCTCTCTGCCCTGTTATTGGCCCAAGAGGAACTGGTTGGCCACTGTGTGAGACAGGATGCTGGACGAGATGGACCACTGCTCTGTTACGGGGTATAAATTTCATAATAAATAAATA